TAAAGATCTCCTTGAACTATCATCTGGCTTATTTGACCTAACCGCAAGGTCAGACCTGAGTGGCCAGACGCGGGAAAGGGATTGATTCGATCTAGGTTGAGTAACTAGTTTATTATTCTGATTGCTTGGTGTCGGTTGTGGTTCTAGGATTGACTCATCTTTACTGTTACAATCAAGCTCCCTCGTAAATTTGGCAGCCGTATTTGAGCAATTCTTGCTTCTTGAGGGCGTTTTAACGAGGCTGGTTTCAGCTAGCTCAGGGATAATGTGCTGAGTTGAAGAGCTAGATGGGACTGGGGCCACTGCAGATAAGAGGGAGGTTTGGTTGACGCCCGATGGATAATCTGCTTTAGGGACAAACGGCAGATGAGTTTAATTCTGGGAGAGACTCTTCGTTGCAGTGGAGTTTTATCTCGAATAATAAAAAGTTTGTTTCTCCTGAGATATTGAGTCGAGCGCTCCAATTAGGAGAAAATAAAGTCCACATGTATCGACTAAAATAGTTGGACAAAAATTGGTGGATTTTTGTTCCTAGATGAAAGTCTTTTAGCTTCAGCAGCTATAAAGTTGAAGCTGCATGAGTAAAGAAAGTAGAAAGCGATATCAATTGGCTGTCTACTCTTAGGAAGGTTTTTTTCAAATAAAGTTAAAACTTCGTTTGTGCCTGTCTTCTGTCTCAGTAGCAATTAGGTCAATGAGAGGCATGAGCTTCTCACACTGCTGAGACGTAAGTGTTGGCAACTCTCCTTCCAGAATGGCACCAAGGACAGAAAAAATTGATCCGTAACGAGACATACATTTGTTTAAATTATCGAGTGCCCCTAGGTCCATTTTCTTCATGTGTACAATGGGTTTTAATTGGAGTTCAGTATCCTTCAGATTTCGACGAAGGGTTGCCTGAGGTTTCATGTCGAAAAAGCAAAACAAAACTTTAGTTCAAAATTTTATAGGGATGATAGCTGCCGCAACTTCAAGGAGATATGAATGAGGCTATGTATGATGAAACACTTTCTGAAAGCTATCAATATTGGTGGGCCAGACAGCACAATTAGTACTAAGCAATTTTAACTGAATAACGGAATGCAAACTTGAAAAAAACGGGTAAATAACAATTATGTAGGGGGCAAAACAAAACCATGAGTAAATTTTGATTGGATAATGAGGCTATGTAGGATAAAATAGAGAACAATATAGTTCTCTAACTAGTCAAAAACCGGCGATAAAAGCGATCAGTGGAGACGGTTTATCGATCAAAATATAATGCTATTCATAATTTTACGAGGGAAACCTTTTATATAATCGTGTAAAACTTATTAGGATTGAGGTTATGTTATGGGGATAGCTATGATACTATATTTCCGCTTTATGATAAATCGACAAAACACGACGGGAAGCTTAGATGACTTATGACAACAATTAGGAAATATTGTCAGATCTACATTAGAAAACAGTGCAAGAGATTAAGAAGTCGAATTCAAAAATATAACTTTCACTAATCTTTTCAAAATCGTGCTGCGCGCGTTTTGACTGTCGGCATTTCATGGGCAGCAGTTTTTTATCCTGAACACCCCCAAACTCTCAAAAACCTTCATCTTTTTTTATCGGAAGATTTTTCACTGTTGGCCGAACTTGTGCTTGGTCTTTCTCTGCCAATACCTGTAGGCTGGTCTTAAGTATTATTGTTATTATTATCACCATTAGTAAGTGTGGTGTGTTATCGGAAAATGGCGTGGTCGTTTCACTGTACTGACGCCTGCAGAAATTTGCAGGGTAGAATTCACCTGCAACTTTTTGGTCTATGAGTGCGATGGTGCCAGTACAGAGTTTTCGAGTGACGCTCACGAGACTTAGAAGGACGGCGTGAATATGATTAATTTCGGGTCGACTGAAGGCTATTGATGAGAGTACACATGGGGCGCATTTGCGTGCCCATTAGGTGTACAGTGTCCCTCAGGTCTTCTTAGTCACCGTGATGAGGATTATTCGGCTCTCTTGAGAGACTTTATACTGTGGTGGCTCCGCGTGATCCGCAACGACAGAATGACAACTCCACACAAGAAGTGTCGCGTTCTAGCGAAGGAGTGCCTTCTGGACTAAAAGTGGCAACTCTAGTAGATTTGTTGTTAAGAGCCGATGTCAACCGAATATTAGCACACGACGGGCCGACCGGCTAATATTCGCTGATTCTGCTTGCATTGTTGGCTATTTCCTCTAAAGAGTTGTTTTTGCCCAACATGACCAAGATCTGCTGCATGGGAACCGACAACTTACCAAACCAGATTTGCCGAAAGATTGCGTTCTCCATATGACGGCCATCCAGCAAAGAACGCATCTGGCAAATTAGCTGTTAGGGTGTTTAATCACTAAGTTCTACCTGCGAAAATAGTTTTCGTAACATCTGATGGGCCGATTTAGCCACTCGTCGGATGACGGCATCCTTTAACTAAGTGTATGGGTCGCCGGAAGGAATCGGGCCGAGGAGGTCCTCGACATCAACGGAGGCATCGAAAGGGAGACTGCACCACGTACAAATAACGGTTGCGCTCACTTATGATACGGCTCGTTGAGAAAACAACCTCAGTCGGACAGCTCGGCGCAAACGCGACAATTAAAAGAAATGGGTGTTGACGTCTGTAGAGTCTGCTTTAGGTTCGTTATCCGGCATAGTAAATAAAGGGGTGCGCAGGTATAAAAACGCGATCATCCCTTTCGTAGTGTAGATGTCAATAAAAACTACAAATAAAAGTAGCTGCAGGAAAGACTTAACTCTAAGTGGGGAATGCTGCATTTCCTACTAAAGAAAACGGTAGCAAAAGAATTTGGAAAAACGGTTAGGGGAATAATTGCACAGACTCACGGAAATTGAAGCGCACCGCCATATCGGTTGCGTAGCGTGAATGCTTTGGGAAGGGTCCAGAAGGTTTCGAGCTGGAGTCAGTTATTGGAGTTTGATGATTAGGTAAATCCACGTCCGGCAAGATATGACCGATAAATGAAAACATTTTGTAGCAATTAACTAAAAAGAGTTGAGGCGTATGAGCGCAATCAGCGGAGTAATGACACCGCGCAGCAGACAGACAAAAAGCACGCGTTAACGAAAGCCGAATTCGGTTGTATGGCCGGTTTAGATTATTCAACCGAGGCTACGAAAAAGTTTCGGTGTAGAAGAAAGTTTATAAAGGACATTCGAAAGTATACATGGACCTATAATTGTATCAACCGTTTGGTGCTGTCACTCTCCTTAGAACATCGGAAAAATACAAAAGAAACACACCCTTTTCGGCTGGTGGACGGATCTTGTTTGCTTCCGCTCAACGGGGAGCGGAAAATTAAGTAAATATGATCAGTACTCTAGGCCCAACCTAGCACACATTTTATACAGCCGTGTTTTTAAGTCAGGAATATGAAATTTCAAAGGATGCATCCGGTCGTTTGACACGCTTTGGAGGCAGGCCGGACTCATTTCTACGGAAGTTCGAGACCATTGGGGAAGGATATAATCGAACCCTTAATAAAATCTAGCACATTTATTTCGTGGCCGTCAATGTTCCATTATGGCTTCTGATCGTTGTCGACAACCATAAGTAACTATTCGCTGTAAGAATAGGGATGACTCCACGTGGAGGACTACCGGTTAAATGTCCGAGGATCGTCTTTTATGTGTTCCGACACAATGTCTCACACTGAGAAAGTCTATTTCTAAGCGAAAACTTGTATGCTCACTGTAATACCTGCAATACACAGGGCACATTAAATTATTAATCGTTCCACCCAGACTTTGGGAAAGCTCTGCGTGGATCTGCGACCTCACTGGCCGGACTGAAGATGTCTGTGCGGCTCAATGCTTCCAAAACAGTCTTATTGTGCCTTTCGAAGGGAAACATTTGGGCCAGCTCACTGGAGGCCCAAGCTTTGGTAGACAAGTAAATGCGGGCAGATCACTTGAACGCAAGCGAATGTCATCAACGACAACTATTGGAGGAATAATGACAAGAGGACAGGCAGCCCAGAAACGTCAAGCAGTTAAATGCTAGAGTCAAGACGGTGTGAAGCAAACCGAAATTTCTCGCTCGCCAGATATAGAGAGGGCATATATGGTCCCTCAGGGACAGGGTCTTTAATAAGTAAAAGACCGGAAAGAGGGAGGAGAGGGGGAATAGTAAAGTGAATGATCGACAGTCGACTGCGCCCACAAACTTGCTAGATAGATGGATAGATATGCTAGCTGAAATAGCACTTTGCAATGCTCGATAGTAGACGCAATCCGCAATCTTATCAAGCCACTGCTCTGAAAATCGTTCGGTGTCAAAAACACACGAAGGGAACAAAAACACACAACCTTTCGGTGTTTTTTTCATCTGCGCTTCAGTATCAGCTGGTTATAAAAAACGGCTGCGATTTGTAGTATACAAAATTTTGACAGTAACTTTGATCTTGACTCTCTTTCATAGGTGCTGTCGGAGGCAACTCTGCTATCCGAATTTTATCAAAACCTGTCCCTTTCAGCCTTGTTAGATTTCACGTTCTGGTCCTCACTTTTTCCGACCTCCTATCCCCTGACTGTGGATCCATGTTGTTCACTCAAGTGCTTAGTTTAGGACTGATGCCGTGGATGGCCATTGTAACAACGTAAACATTTTTTCCGAGGATGTGTATTTAATTATGCATTCACAATGCGTGTCTAACATCTGTGACATCATAGGAATTCCTACGATGTATTTAAATACATGAGTCCCTCCACTTAAGAAGTACCTAACAGTCCCCGACCATAACCCTAGCTTAGAGTCGAGAATTTTATCACGGTGAAAGGTTTCAAATAATTTAAAACGGAAGGGCGGATGTCTTCTATTCCCTTGACGACAGAACACATGACTACTTCTGAATCTCAAAGTTACGGAGCTTGAAACAACATAAATAATTAACACAGGTTGTGTCCCCTCCCGAACCCACATATTTTTTGTGTATATACTGCTCACATTGTTCCAAGTTTTTGCTCCACTATGTTTTGGGAAGGAATTGAGCTACCACCTGACATTGAAGATGTAAGATTGGAATTTCCTTACATTTTCGTAAAGTCTACCCCACTGTTCGACGTTCTAGATGATGACTACATTCTCCAGCGATGTCGAGAGCGGTCCACCAGTCTAATAAACTAGTGAGTGCTCACATTCGGTAATTGCCTTCAGCCTCTCAAAATCGGAAAGAATAAACGAGCTGATTGATTTGGTAACGGATCAGTCCAACATTCGATTTGATGTTGAACGTTTTAAGTAAGTACACGTCGTGAAAATGTCCACGTGTTTACATGTCGGACGTTACTTACGTATCGTCATTTTTCTCTTATTTGCCGACATTCCTAGTTAATTCACTGGGCTCTCCCACGAGAACCAGAATAAGGCAGTTTGCGAAGCATATTGCCTTTTGCCTTATTGTATACAACATAACAATAGTTCCGTTACACGTATATGTGAAATGCATTTACGGTTATGCTCGGCTTGTGTGAGCTCGCTTAAGCCCTTATTCAGTAAAAAAAGTTATGCTCTTTTGATGTAGCACAAAGTTCAAGCTTAAAGACCAAGCATGGCCGACACCCGAAGCAAGATACGGTGTTTGTTTTATATCTCATCCAAGTTGATACACATTAAGATTGCCTTTTTCACGAGACCAACCCTCCTCATAATATGAATTCTAATGAGCAATCACGTTTCGTCGTTGTCGAACAGCACTGTTAGGTTAGGTGTTAGTAATTTAACTACCTTGTATCAATTTTTGCTATCTTGTAGACGGCCGTCTGTCGCCGCGGAGATCCTCTCGAGTGATGTCCCACAATTACTGGACTTTCTTGTCTCATCTGGACAGGGAGCAGTATCGTCGAGCGAGCAGTCAAAAGGACCTACAGAGACTCCCAAGGCCCTCCGGATGCCGTTTGTGGATAATTTATTATCATTCCTCGACACTCCTGGGGCATTAAACCCCTTGTCGGCGAGCTTCTTCTCCAAAATTCTCATCAATCTCTTGTCTTTTCGTGCCGCCGAAGTGAGCTTTATCCTTCGTATACGCTGCTTTGTAACAAACATTTAATTCACACACATATAGTCCTTACTTTCGATCGTATCGAATAGCAAATATTTTGCGCCGGTTTTGATGAAATACGTGGGTCGTCTTCGCCTAAGCTTCAAATCCTTATAAACGTTAGAATAATATTCCTCCCCCAGCCAACAGCATCACCTTCGCCTTCGATGACACAATGGGTGACTGCGTAGGCTGTCATCTGATCATGCTTACCACAAAACACTCCTCTTGCTTCAGGCATCTGGTTTCTAACATTCGACTCCATGCATCAACCAGAGCTACATTGCACGAATCAGTTTATTTCAGTCCAAGTCGTTCGACAATGTCCCCTGCTCCGTATGATTCCTACTTGTTTTGATTTTTAGCTCGTGCCTTATTTAAAAGCCAGGCCGGACTTCTTCCCCAACATCCTACAGCATCTTGACACCTCGGCCATCAGCGATCTCCTAGTGGAATTAGCACAACAGGACAACGGCCAGCAGCATGTAGTTGCCAAGGTGATTATGGATTCCTAAAATTTTAAAGCACAGAAACCAAATGCCGTCCTATTCCTCAGATATTTTAACTCTCCTGGACCACTTTGTTTCGACTTACTTGAAAGTTTTTGTATTCTCGAGTGAAAGTCAGTATAATTCATATAAGCGAACCACCCGATCTTATGTGGCATGACTTTTGAGGGAAAAATTTAACGTATGGAATCCGACTTCTTTGCTTTTTTTAAACTTTCGGCTCTCTTGTAGACGCGTGTAGATACTTTTTAAGCAGCTCTGCTTACCTATTTCATCTGATTTGTTGTCTGTGACGTAATTTTATCTAAATATGAATCATGGCCATGTCTGTTGTAAGGGTAAGTGATCTTACTAAGACTGCCTGCTAAATACTCTCCAAAGGAGTCGAGTCTTATACGAGGTGTTCAAGAGAAACCTCGTATGACTGTAAAACCTCTTCAACGTTTCACTATTTTTTTAACACTTTTTGTAAAATCTGTATTGACAATCGCACCCTTGGATATGTTTCCTGGAAATACAGAAAGCCTTTTTGGTCTAAGTCGTTGAGAAGCAAAGAACGCACGTCATTAAATTCACGAACTTGGGATTTTATGCTTCATGGTTGCTATCCTTTTTATTATGTTAAGTGGCATCTGCTTACAATATCACGGAGGTATATTTCATCTGCATGCCGTGTTCAAAGCTTGGGTATATGCTGCTTTCGGTATTCTAGTGTTATATGTGCCAGAAAGGCCCTTTCCAGTTGTATTTCCAACAACTTTGACTGTGAGTCATTGTAAAAGCACAAACGCGCAAACTAGGGACCATCGACTGCTGTACGAGCGAGTGATACTTACTCTCTGAGAGGTCCATCACTGCTCTAAGATGTTAGTGCTGTCCTCACGTGCGTGTTAATTTGCTTATAATCAAGCAAACTTGCATTGCTTCCACACGCATCATGTTCCGATGTCAAGACAGCTGGCGATGGGTGTGGGCGCAGGGGTTAACAAAACTACGCAGTTTAGCTATGCGTTCCACGCACAACCCGTTGCCTACTTCCACACGTACCAGTTCTCATGCTGGGAGAGTGTCTTGAATCCCACATAGCTGACAGTACGACGGTCACATTAAAAAGCCATTGCAGTCTGACCCTCGTTTTAAAGGAAGTTCGAGTCATCCGTCGTCTGACAGCGTACCAAGACACAGCTTTTATTAAGCCATGATAGATTCATCCAGAATCTACCTCTTCCCCTTCACATGCAGTCTGTCAGCTGGCTAGTGCGAGCACGTAAGCAAGTAAGATAGTTTGCCGTTATAACCGACGCTGTAAACGGTACCATAGAATGGATGTGAATGATGGGTGACCGTGGTGTCTTCAAAAATGACCGAAAAAGCACATGCTATGACTGAGTGTTGGGAAATGATGTGAGCTTGAATGATGCGTGTTATTTTAAGGATCGCTGCCGTGTGTATGCATATGAGCGAATAGGCTCACACGACGACAGAGTGTGCGGGTGCGGTGTGGGCAGGGGAGGCGTGAATAACGAGTTTGCAGCGCCTCCAGGCGCCGGTGCAGTGCAGTGCGGTGCACTTGCAGTCGTTGTCAGACTGGTGCATGATTGGAATGTGCAATCACCGCGGGAGAAACGTTGACGCTGAGTCCCCACAACTGGTGGTTGCCTTCTACTCCTTGTCAGTGTCACCATATTCACGGCTACATAGGTGTTCAATCGGGAAGATGAGGTTACCATGAGGACACTTGAAAGAGGTGCGTTCAGTGACGACACGAGGGTCGTCTTTTTGTGAAGAGGGTGACTCGCTCGCGCTCACGCTGCGACAAATTGGCACGCGTCCGACAATACCAATCCAGGCTTTTAACGCGGTTTGGGCTATGGCATTCTACTCTTCTTTGCTTCTCATCTGGCCTTGGCCTCCAATATTCGTCTTTCTTTAAAAATAGCAACTATAACCACCGCCACTACCTTCCACAGTCACTGTTTCCTGCGGCCGCCGCCGCCGCCGCCGCCACCACCACCACCACCAGTCCTGGTGATCGACGTATTATAATGCATCCGTCTCACGGGTGCCACATGCCATCTCGGCCCTGCTTATGCATGGCACAACAATTCCACACGTTATGGTCGTCGTGAGTCAATCAGGATTGTTACAGATTCTTGGGTAAAGGTGCGATAAGTTGCGAGTTCCTGGCCAACAGTAAATCCTATCACCGCCTTTTGGACACCATTTACGTACTGTCGTCCTTACCTGCTTATTAGAATATTAGGATTGTTTTTCATATCACCTACATACTATTGCCTACTCCGACAGAATCTTCGGTAGTCCTCAGCAATTAGCGCGGAAGACCGCAGGGTCCACATATTTTCTGGTTAAAATTGGGCCTTTTGCTTCGTGTAAGGTCTTTCGGGATTTGCTGGTCCTAGCTAGTTATTGTATTTGCACGCCCTCAGCCATTTGAGGCGAAAGTATAAGCGCGGTGGCTGGCGTCCCATTTCAGGCAGGCATTGTCTGCGAGACTTCCGTTTCTTTCGGAGGCACTGGTTCCCCACCGCCTTTGCACGCCACAACGGAATTGTGCACCGGATGGGTGTCACATTTGATTTTTTGTCTTCCAGGCTGAGCCTACAGCGGATTTGAGCAAGAATGCGGCCTATCAGAGGACGGCGAAATGTACTTCTTTTTTTTTTCGCAAAAAAAGGAAGGAGAACATACTGACAGTTGAATTGTCAAGCCTAACTTTGTGCCTGCCAGAATTGGTTTGCTGGGTGTGGATTTTCTTCCAGGCTGGCAAAGCCTCTCCTAACTCCACACATTCCTCATCTGTTATTCTTTACTCGAATTTCCTGTTGTGCACGTTTATAATCTATCTAATCCGAATTCAGTCATTTCTTACGGCCCGGTTCTGTCTTTTGTGCATTTAGTGGTTTCTGGAGGCCGATCTCATACCTCAACTTCTTGACGAGCTCTCGGCTAATTCAGCCCAGGAGGTTAGTTAATGTCATGCGCCGCGCATCCTCATTTCACGCTTCATTATGTTTGCCACTTTATCATGCCCGGGCATCAACGTGTCTGTCTTGCGATTATATTTCAAGGCTGAAAAATGAAGAAAAGTTCATCGTGTGGAATGCGCACCACATCGGAAGCATACGCAAAGACTGAAGCAGTTCTAATGCTTACGTCTCACTGGCCTAGGCTAACGTGCTAGGATGCCTGCCTTCGATTCCGAACAAAAACACCTTTTAAACCATACCCATTGGCAGTAACCCCCCCTCCCCTCCCCCTCCTCCTCCTCCTCCTCCTCCTCCTCCTCCTCCTCCTCAGCCTACTACTACTACTACTACTACTACTACTACTACTACCACCACCACCACCACTAGTACCTCCGCGCCCCCTCTATATAGGTGAGGTTGATGAGTGCGATTTTGAAACGTCTGGAACACGAACAAGGTATTGGGAAGCAAAAAGCTTTCCCAACCTACTCTTATCATTGAGAGCTGGGCTGCCTTTGTGCACACATCAAAGACTAACCTGCACTTCTAGCGGAAGATGTATAAGCAGCAGCAGCAGCAACAGCGGAGGAGGAGCTGGGCTCTCCAATACAAAAAAAGCTCTTAGTTCGGACTAGTGTCTACCTTATTCCGGAGGTCTACTACGAGCACGAAGAAGCATGAAAAAGGGGTCATGAGAAGGTACTTGCACAAGCTGACCATATACTCCTCAGACGAAACTGCACTACTGACAAAGATGGGGTAAACTGCCTTAACGGCATACCTGCACTAAATTTGGTGTTGACGTTGCAGTAGTTGAACCTACCATTATGTAATACCCCCGCCAACATCTTATCCCAGGAGCGGACTGGGGCGTACGAGAGGCGACGCCCAGCCCCTCAAAAGACGCTACTATCTGTGAACAATGGCAAAACTTTGACGATGGTGCGCAGGCGTATTGCAAACTGCAGTCGGTGACGCCCATTAGGCGCCTCTGTCTGCACAAGAAATAACACTATTGGTCGCAGGGAAATCGCCAACATACAGAGCCTCCTCTACCATTGCCATCGCCGCTACCGCTGCCGTTGTTATTTGAATGCTATCACCCTTGTTCCTGCTTTGGACACCATTAGCCTATGGCCTGTGCATGATTCATAATAATCATACAGAGCAGTGTGCTCTGAATTGAAGAAGGCTATATCGTTTCGGGCAATTGGGAGGACCGGATAAATGGCATAACTCGTCTTTTTCTCACAACAAGAGTCGTTCTTTTATCTTGTCGACCTTTGTCTTCCTCATGTCTGTCTTTTGGTCTTCCATTTCTGCCCTGTTTAGAGACACGAGTACTGTGCTCGGTGCCTGTGTGAGCTGTACTCCATCTTCCGCAACTATATAGCTCTGAATGCACCCGACCACACGCCTGACTCTGATGTGGTCGATCTTTCCGCTCTCCTCAAAAATTTCGATTCTGATGAGGAAAGAACCATGTTTCAGATGGCCTTAGAGGTCCTGGATCAACTCGAAAGGTAATTTGGCCGAAACGACCTGATCATAATGTCCCAGAGGAATATTCACTAGTATATATATATATATATGCACATATATTTTGGAGGGTAATAAGTCTTTTGGGAGATGCAACAAACTTTATTCTGTTAATTTTCCATGCTGGTTCTCCAGGTCGTCGTCAGACGTGTGGAAAGTATGCAAAGCAGTCAAAACTTTTGAAAGGGACAAAAAATCTATGCCAATGATTCATAGTCTTGGTTGGCACCTTGTGTTGATTGGTTTTGGTCTCTTCCATCTTTCCCTGAGATTATTGTAAACGGCATCGAGTTCAGTGGGCCGGTTAATGCATGATTAATCGGGATATATGGCCTCCAAAAATTTACGGCCTTTTTAGATGGACGGACACCATCAATGCGCTTTCTGTCCCAAGCAAGTTTATGGCTAGTTTTCAGTGTGTCCTGGCAACTCGGAGCAAGTGGTTTCGTTCCTCACGGCCAGTTGATGTTCGTTTATGCACATAGAGGCCGGCTTTCCAGTTTGACCGTCGTACGCTGCACTGCAGGCGTCACACTGAATCTTGTAGACAACCTCTTATCTAAATAACTAGCCCTACCCGTAGGATGTGCGAGCTGGTTGCGTAATGTGGTCGTCGGTCTTTGCTCCACTTGTATTTGATGTCTCCTCAGGTGTTTTTCAGCGAGCTCAGACACGTTTTTAATGTACAGAAGAGTTCTCCAGGTTTTCTATTTAGGCGTTTGATCGGAACAAACTAGTTCCTTGTCTTTTTATGTTAACTCATATTGTCTCATCCACTGGCGTACAGAATCTCCGGGGTACTCATTTTGGGAAGAGGGTGTTAACACCTTGTGGTCGAGCCCGCGTCCTTTTGATTATTATGCGTTGTAAGTTAAGCGTTTTGACCATTGGTTACGGCGCCTTGTCCTGTCGTCTGCGACCAGGAGGGGGTTCGACCCTCAGGTTCCCCAATTCTGAGGTTGGAGAAAGCCAGCTGACGACGACTAACAAGCCCGAAATGGCCACCCAAGTCTCCCGTGTGTTCGTCGGTAATATCACTCTGCGTATAATGCTAGCCGCAGTGCGTTCGCCGCTGTATATTCGGCCGTGATCAGAACCGATCAACTGCAGCGCCTTTTGGTTCTATTAGTCGCGAGTCTTTAGGGTTAGTTCTCGAGTTAAACGACCCATTCACGGAAAGCGTGTCGGTGATCAAAGCTCTGCTTAATATCGCGCGCTTGTGTTAGAAATATGATCAAACATCCTCCCCCTCAGCAACCTCATTAACTATATTACAGAGCGAGGCGTCCGTTGTCCCGAAGGTGCTGAGAGATCAATCGGAAGAGCCAATTTCAAGCACACGCGTCTTCTTTCACGATAATCTAATAAGGATGTCAGACATGACCCGCGCTTAAAACCGCGAGTATGTATTCTACCGGCTGTGATTGCGTTATCATAGTTGCCTTTATGAACCCAGGCGATGAGAGTGATTTTACTGAGCTCACCTCCGGTGATCGTCACAGCTCTGTTTTCCAGCTTTTCCCGTTCAACTGCTTGAGCGAATTATAATCTGAGCCACTTGCACAGCATTAATTGCACTACCTCCTCCCAATTTCCCCAAGTTTAATAAACATGACTGGGCAGTGACGCCTGGATGTAGATTTGGATGCGGCAGCGGGCTTGACATAAGGCTCCAGTCTACACGTGCAGCCAAGTGTGTGGTCCCTAGGTTGGAGAAGCGCACTGATAGCTCCCATCTAATTTTGTCCGCCAATCGGACCAATTATCAGGGTGGGGTCGCTGCTGGTAGACATTAGAGCTTACCGTCGACTGACGGTTAGAATGAACTAACAACTTTGAGGGGTCAGTCAAACCTACCGTGCTGGCCTTCGGGCGCCTGATATCACAGTTAAATCTGTCTTGATTTCTTGCAGCGAACCCTACCAGTGTCTTCGCTTAGATGTTTTTTGGTAACAATCGGGAGATGGCACCCAAAAAATCCGTTACCTAGAAATAATACCTTTAACAGTGGACTCAAACGCCTTCAGGCTATATCAGCGGTTGCAGGCCTACTTTCACGCAATACTTGGACTTTCTCCGACGGCCTAACATGGACTGGCCGAACGAACATCGCAGGAGGTTACATGGACGATGGTCGTTGTTACCCAACCTTCCCCATCGTTACACACGTACACCTGAATATACGGCTTACATTCGCATTATGGCAGTTTATTACAAAACAAAATCACTTTTAAATAGGATAAGTCTGCACAACATGGGACAGGAACAGTTCCCAGGCATCTGTCAAAGACATGGCATTGAGGCCAAACCAAAGACGATACTGTACTTCGTCTATGTGAGCCCACACAGGTCGACCACGTACAGGGTCTCCCTCGTGGAGTTTCCTTTTCAGTCTACTCCAGTATGCCTCAATGGCATTGGTGTGCCGTCCGGTGGTAGGGTGTTTAAAGTTCTTTGAGTGGTTAACAGATAAATGTAGATAACCTTCTGAGAGAAGACGATTATACGCCTTCCACTCGTCCGTTACCACTATACTGCCTTTGGCGACCGATTTTGTAATATTGGAACAGAGAGCGGGCCAACTTCGATCATTCGTCTGTTCAAATAAGGCTGGTATCGTACATCCTGACCAGCCACCACCCATAAAACCCCTATTACCACCTGTCCCGTAAGACAGACTGCTTTGGCTAGGCAGATTTTTTGGGTGCCGTCTCCCGATTATTACCGTTTTTTTTGATTCACCACACGCCTTTTTGCAAGTATTATTTCTCATGTTGCTGCTACACAATCCTCCGTCCTCCCGACAGTGAGAAAACCCTTGGCCGACTACTGGATCTCCTAATTGAGGGCTCCGGGAAGTCCTCCTCTGTCGTTACTAACTCCTGTGAGGTCTTTCTCACGTGCATCGACAAGGCGAAATCGTAAGTATTTGTGCTATACTAACGTTTACCACCCTCTGCATTCACTAGCTATGCACCATTCCAGCCATGTGAGCCATGTTTCCTATTAGAAAGGTAAAGTGGTATATTTACAGTAGACGTGCTAACTCATGAAATGTTAACAGAAATTCAAAAATGCGTTTTTGACTGGAAAAGACTACCTAAGTAGGGCTGTAATGTTAATGGCCGTTTAGTATAATTCATAGATATTTCAGTTACTTCGCGGTGCCGGTTTTCTGAACGAACTTCTTCCCAGGCGCCTGCGAAAATTACACTCGGTAAAAAATGACTACTATAGTAGTATGAATTTTTCCCATTGATTTTCGATGCCTTTATAAGTTCAACTATACTTCATGGCAAGCATGCACAAAAATATTCATTCCTTTACTCATTTGGTAGAAAATGACGTTGTCTTTAAATTTTATACTTGAAGAAGGAGCATAATTCGGTTTTAAAAAGTTTCTTATTATGAGACTTTTTAAGATCCTGAAATGCCCGTTTATGAAACATCGTGTCTCTGCA